ATAATTAAGGGAAGGAAAATTTGAACTTTGCTCTCTAGACAAGAGCATAATGTACAAACTGATAAGCCAAATGCTCAAGTGCATAAAAATTTAATTTTTCTCTATGTTACAACACTCTTTTTCTAAATTTTAGAAATCTATTCATAATTTTGATTTGTTTCTTTTCTAATCCTATTTAAAATTATTAACTCACTCTAGATAATTTTATATCCACACTTATAAAATCTTTGTTAGTACTTGGTCACCCCATATTGACACTACTATTACATCATTTATAAAATGTCCCATCATCTTCATCATCATCATCATCATCATAGTACCAAATTCAATATCAAATAAAGAAGAAAATGTTATATCAATACAACCGAACACCATATTGGTATAGATGATAAAATTTTTTTAACATATTAAAGTAACATTATTAATTTTGAAAATATAAAGATTTAATTTTTACAAATTATTGTACAAAGATTAAATTCACCATTTCAATAAAATACAAAAACTAATTGTATAATTTAACCGAATCTTTATATATATATTTTATAATTAAGAGAAAGGAGATTTGAACCTTATTATTTTAAGTAGGAGGTCACTATTTTACTTTAATTTAGATGGTTTACATCAAAGCCCATAATATACATAAACCTCAGCATTCTACTTTAATTTGCTGCATGGTCATACAACATTATAATTAAGAACCAAACCCATTCGGCACTGCTAGGATTATAATTACCACTCTCTCAATTGGTAACAATATTTGGCAAAATTAAAATGCAACACTTCACCAACAATATTATGTTGATAATATTGTTGAATTTAATTTCCAACCCTGATGTTGGACGTAAGATTCCGTGGTGGAATAAAAATGCACTATTATAAGTAGTGTTTATCATAGAATGTTATTGACTTTTTGGGAATATGTCCTTTGTTGTACTATTACATTTGCAATCCAAGGATGGTACAGTCACTTGTTGACTCTCCGACACTAATGCGTATTGGCTCCAATTTTCTTTATGCATAAGAGGCAGAACTTGTTGCATCTGGATTTGGTTCAATAAATGGTGCATATATATATATATATATATATATATATATATTCTTTGATTTAAAGAATTGAATTTAAATTAATCTTTCTTCAATAGGAAGAATAAAAGAAGTTTAGCTTGTTCGTAGAACTCAAACTTGACCTATTTTATATACCTTTTATTGATGGAAGTTTTCATTTTTTGATTGATCAATGCCCAGTTTTTGTTCTAGGCGCAGTGAACTGCAAATTATTTTTGCGTTGTAGTTAGAGAACATTTTGAACTTTACCGTCAATTGCTTTTTGTATGGTAATTGCTTTTTGTAATTGTCTAAATTTCTCATGTCCGAATCAAGTTATTATATTATGAAAAATCTCTCGTTAAACAAATAAAAATTTTGAAATGATAAATTGGTTGTTGAAATCAATACATTCATTTAACAAAAAAAAAATACAAGATTGAACTCTGCTTTCCTCTTTAGCCTTAATTGAATGTATAAAAAGTGAAAAAAAAAATGAAAAAAAAAATGTAAAAGACATCATGTGCATTACTATTGAATTATTGATGAAGTCTATCTAAGAAGATGAGATCTCTAGGCATGAATGTGTTTGATCATTATTTTCAAAAAAATTAAGGAAAACAGAAGAGGTGGGTGAATTATTCAATAACCTTTATCAGAAAATTTCATCACTTGTAACCTAAGAGAAACAAAAACTTAGATTTACTTAGGGTTTAGGTAAAGCACTACTCCATAACATTTGTTCCCTCACACAACAGCACTAGAGCCTATTAGAACGTTTTAAATATTTAATAATCAACATATTGATAATTTATTATTGAGTGAAATAAGCTTCAAATATTCTTAAAGGATTCCATTTCTACAAGCAAGGTTTTAAATATCAGGTTTGCAAGCTATATATTTATATATATTAGCCTATAAGCTTTTACTTGAATGATGTAAGAGAAAATTAATATAAAATGTTCAACCATATCCATTAGTTGAATCATTGCTTACATAAATGTTTAATTATAGTGATTAATTAAATACATAATTAAAAAAATAGAACAGCTTAATTAAAGTTGGAAAACAGGCTCTTTAGTTCCTTTGAAATGCATAGCCAATAGGCTGTATCCATATCGAGCTAGCTAGTTGCCTACCCGAGTAAGCAAACAATAGGGGAAAAAAAACACAAATAATTATTTTTAATGAAATAAAGAAGTGAAAAATGAATGAATAAATATGGAGGAAATATCTTTAGATCTATGAATATGATTGCAAATAATTAATTAATAAACTCAATTAAAATAATTATATTCTGGGGCATCTATGAAGAAAAAGTGGCTTGCTTCCCCGCGGTGTGGTCTATGACAGAATAACAACCAACAGAAAATGTAACTGTCAAGCTGCAGATATATATTATTCCCAGAAAAAAAAATTGCATTTTCAAATATTAATATGAGCTTATTTTATCATTGAAGAGTCAACCTCTACTATCCCAATGGTACCTTAACACCATTTAATTTTAGATTTTTGGATCAACAACCATTTAAACCAACATTACCATAACAAAAGAATTTAAAAGAAAACAAAGAATTAGCAAGGAGACATTTAGATATGGGTAACATTATCCATATTTCCTGCTTGAAGGTCCCAAGTCTTGAACTTATTGTGGTGAAAGTGTTTGTGTTTCTTTATGAATTTCAATTACTAAGTTTAGATTTTATCAAAGTAATAAATTCAAGGAATATATTATAACATATATAAATAAATAAGAATCTTAACTTAATATAATTAATTACTCACTTGAAAAAAAAAATAGAAACTAAAAACAAGTCAAGCTATTTATGTCCATATCATTTTCAGCTCCAGGAAGGGGAAAAAGGAAAAAGGAGTTCATGCTATTCTCAATCATCATATGAATTCCAGGTTGCAGATTATTTTTTGTAATAACAGCAACTTGCATAACACAAATTATCTATATGGGAGGTCCCCTGGAAATGTAAAGAGTGCTACAACCTTTTTCCAATGGTTCTACCCCAGCAAAAAGCAAGATATATGGAAACCCTTTTTCACTGTTCTTAAACTTTTCGAAAAATGTTTGCTTTCCAGGCCCCCCAAGCACCGATGCTAGTTCAACTTCTCAAACTAAAAGGCTTGGGTCTTCTCAACCTTACATTCTTCTATCTAAAGAATTATGATTGAAAACATCCAACTTTCTGGCCTGCCATTATCAAAATAATGGATATCAGCAGTCTTTTGTACTGTTTTTTTTTTTGAAAAAAAAAAAATTGGGTTTTAATTATTACCATTTCAAAATTAGAAAATTAATTCTCTAATTCCAATCATATAGTAAATGCTTGAGATTGTGGCACTACCCTAATGCTACATAAATATTCACAATTGGTATTACAAATTATTGGTGAAGTAGCATGGAGTTGGACTCCATAAATTTTCAGCAATATATACTCTATAATAGTGGTGGAGTCAAACTTTCGCATTTGAGGAGGTGAAAAGTCGAAGATAATGTTTATAAAACATTCATACTATAAGTTCAATGTTTGACAAAAATATAAAACAACTTAAATGAAAAAAATTCATATGAAAATTATATAAACAAATTTTAAAAATTATTCAAAAAAATCAATCTTAATAATTATTTAAAAGAATTAACTAGCATAATCATAAATAATTTAATAATGATAATAATCTTAATTTCTAGATAAACTTAACAATAAACAAAAACTAACAAATATAATAACAACAATCTAAATGGGAAGTAATCTCCTAAAAAATATTAGAGCTATCAATAACCAATTTAATGGGGAAGCAATTCCTTAAAATTAATCACAAATTTTAAATACAATATTAATAAATAATTCAATGAGAAAGCAATTTCAAATAAAAAACTTAATTGTTTACAAGAATCTAAGCAAAGAAAAGCACAAAGAATTTGTAGGAAATCAATAAGTAATCTCTAAATAAATAAGTAATAACTAACTTTATATATTTAATCAAATTCGTGTTTTGTTACTTTCAACAAAAAATGACTTAGACAGTAAATCTTAATTTAAAATCACAAATAGAAATTATTAAATAAAAAAATTTTAAAGTTAAAAATATTAAAAATAAAATAAATAAATAAACTAAACTTATCAATTATTATGATATGAAAATTGAGTTACCGACTAAAGATTTTCTGCATAGAGAATGCTAGCAAGCGAAAAAGTATAAAAATTGTGAAGTTTTTGAGAAGTGAGGTTTAAGAATAATTTTATTATAATAAGTTTTATTTTTAGTCTTATTAAAATTAATTATTGTGGATATTTTACCAAATAAAAAATTATTATTAAGAGAAAATTATAAAATTTCAAAAAAATAAAAATGCATTAGAAAAACTTTAAAAGTTTTGTAAAGAAGAAATTATAAAATTTTAAAAATATAAAGCTAAATTAGCCCCCCTCCCCTCCGCCTCTGCTCTATTAGTAATATTTCTGTGAAATAAATTTATACATAAAGTTTCATATATAAGGATCATAGATTTGTAGATGGCAAAGACCTCAAAATCATAGAGCTGTAAATTTGAATCCATGCTGAAACCCTGTTAATAACTGTCAGCTGCTTTAGTTCATTTCAGAATTTCTAGTGTGTTTTGCTCCCGAACGTTGTCGGCATGGCCAAGATGATGACAAATATTCTCTCATATATCGGACAGAAAAGAAAAAAAAAATTGTTTTAGTTCAAGGACCCACAACAGTTTTTGGCACTCATTGAGATCAAAGCTCAGGCTAAAGAGTACAGTTGAGATCTTAATAACCATCCGTCTGTATATAGCGTAAGATCTCATTTAAATAACAGTGAGATGATAGCTCTCATAGATAAGTCCAAGGTCAAATACAAAGTCACCATCAATTCTTACAGAAAAAAAATATGAATATTAAACAATAATTAACAATAAAAACAGCAAATAATAATAATAAAAAAAGAGGGTTTCAGGTTGGAGAAGCTACATGTTGTCCAGACCAGCCAGTATCTCTGAAGTAAGAAACGAGTTTTGTTAGTTTAATTCAATCATACATCTCTTGGAGTAAATTCTAAATTCTTAAACCTCAGAGGTGTCTGCCTACATAGTCCATAAAAAAAATTCAGGAAAGTCAGCTGTGAGCTATATAAGGTTATCTAGAATCAAGAATCAAGAGAGAAGAAGGAAGTTGTTAGAGACTGAAATGAAGAGAAAAAGGGAAATGGAGAAAAGATCAGAGTTAAGGTCGGCCAGTGAAGAGCTGTCCATGATAGCCAAAGTTCAGCCTGGTGATAATCTTGATGCAGCCCATATAGCAACCAAGCCTTTTCTTCATGTCTGTACCTTGATTCTTCAAGTTCTTGGTCAGTTTCTCTTCTTCTTCTTCTTCTCCTCTCTCATCAGACGTGTGGGTCCAAAAGTATCAACTAAACTTTCTTTTCCTGCATTTTTGTTCTCTTGCAGATAAGATAGGCCCAACTATGGCTGTCCTTAGACAAGACATTCATCAAAATATCCAGGTTAAAAGTTAAACTACAGCAAAAGGGAAGCATCTGGCTTCTTAGATTTCCACTTAATATGCATACTTGACTTTTCTTGCATGACAAGAACGCCCTTGTGACTTTTCAACCAACCTTGCACTTCTGGCTTTATTTTTGTCGTTTCACCGATTCTTCCATGGGCATTTCTGTCCCTGCAAGGACATGTTTTTGTCATTTTATTGATTATTTGAACATTGATGGAACCCTCTTTTTTCTTCTCTCTATTTTTAGAGATTGGAGATTCTCTGCGAATCCGATCCTACAAGATATTCAAATTTGATTGAAATATTGAAAGAAGAAGACAGTGAAGGCAATGCAAGAACAAATACCAGCTGCAGCAGAGCCGTCCTCTGGCTTACCAGGTAAGCAGATTATATATGTAAATAACTCACAGTTCTCTAAAAATATTCCAATTTAATCATAGCTAGCGAAAAGGTTAGAGGATATGAATAGAGCTCTTCTCCAATAATTTAACTTATTACTGTAGATTCAACTTTGCCTTCTGTGATATTATCATCAGTTAAGATAGTCTGTCTGTCACTCATGGCTGACATATCAGAGTTTAATGAAGAGTCAGGGTCTGCTATCTTTGACCTTCTCTGTTATAGGTCTTTACTATGTTATGATTTGTCCTTTACTGACAAGCTGTTATTGTTTTTTTTTTTTTTCATTTCTTTACCAATTTTCATTGTCCTAGTTGAAGTTTCAAAGAATTATGCTGTTTGCTCTGTCTTTGTCCCCAGTGTTCATGCTTTACCCAATTTAAGTAAATAGATGTGGTTCATGCCTTAATGATATTGTTAACATGCATCATTGGCATCTGCAAAAGTAGAGATGAATACAGAGCCAAAGCTTCTCTTGGAAACTTCTTAGCTAGTATTGGTTTCAATTTCCCGAGGAAGAAGTTTTATGAGCACACTTGAAGACACATAGATATACGTCTTGCTCTTGGTCTAATATCATTAGTTATGCTAATAGTTTAAGGAGATATTTAATTGAAAGCAAATAAATTTATTTTTCTTTCTTCAGGTCAATGGATTTTATGGTAGATTTGTTACAAAGGTTGGTGGAGAATCCTGGGCAGAACATGGAACAAGCAGTTGAAGAATCCTATAATATAACTTTGAAGCCATGGCATGGATGGATTTCATCGGCTGCTTTTAAGGTATTTAAGCATTTCTTCTCCTTTGCAACAAAATTTTCCCCTCAGATCTTACTGCCTCTTGAGTCTCAAGTGCTTAATGATTTAGCAGTTCTTTTTATTGACCTAACCCACTTGTTCAACAAAAAGCTTTCATTAGATGGCAGGATCTGAGGCTAAATTTCTAGCTTAGGCATAATATTCCAGGACTGCCTAGAATTCTGTCTTGACTACCATTGTTTCATTGACACATGATGTAAGTCATCAAATGTCATGTTCTTAATGTAATGTTTCACCATTGAGCAAAAGTACTATAACATTGCCTTAACTTGTATCTTGCCTCCACATGAACTAATCGATGGAAAGTTTACAGGTGGCGCTAAAACTTGTGCCTGATAGCGGAACATTCATTAGCCTCCTCATGACAAAAGATCAAACTTATGACAACCTTAGAGAGGATATGCAGACCTTAATTTCATTACTTGTTCCTATACTAGAAGAGATCCACTCTATCCTGGTGAGGATATATCTTTGTCAATATTGCTCATAAATGAGTGATCCAGCTTCTAGTTCTTTGTTTAATGCTTATTTTCTTAATTGTGCAGAACTTTTATCGATTGGATAGGTTAAAGTCTACCTAAGGAGAATATATGGGGGAAAAAGGGCAAGAACAAACATATAAAGCTTGGTTTTCATATAGCATGTAGTCTTCTCCAACCCATTTTCTGTTGCTTTAAAAATACGTCTGTAAATAGCCTTCTAAGTTGTAAGCAAAAATTTGCTGTAACAGCTACGTTTTCTAATGTATCTAAACACGTAATACAGAGAGGATTCCCTAAACCACTCTTCCATTCCTTGTACAAATATTTGCACCATCAGGGAAACAACCAATTTATTTTAGACTTGAATTGGTATTAAAATGGGACTTTGGGGGGCCTATCTAAAATGAAAACTAGCTGGGGAGCCTGAGATGAAAACTGTTCAAGCACAGCATTCATTCCCAGTCTAAAGTCTTTCAAAGACAAAAGTTGGAAGTAGATATAAGAATCACGGAATGGATGTCAATTAGTAATGGGCGGCTGGAGGTGCCACCTCTTTAGCCAACAATCATGTAAAAGAAGTCATGTACTCACCTAGGCTCAAAATAGACAATTGGCTGTTTCTTCTTTCAGATTCCTTTTCCAAGGTAGTTATAAGATTCTGCACCTTCCAAAAATAAAACATTTCTCAAGCCAGTTAAGTGCAGCATCTACATCCTTCAAACTAAGAGAGAGTTCTCAAAGGACAATCCCCCTGAATCTCTCAAACGGACATGCAGAGTCCACTGCCTAATTTGAAAAATAAATGCAGGAATTTAAATTATGCACATTCCCTGTGTATGAGTTTCCCTTCTCTTATCTCTTGATCAATTAGCAATTGCAAAAGGAGAATATGTAATTGTGCTCAAGGAACCGTATCCAAGGTCAACTTTTTAGCTGAGGTGATAGCAACAGAACTTCTACTACCCATTTGGAACTTTGTGGAAGTTTAATGTTGTTAAGGAACTCGAGAATCCAACTGAACTTTTTCAAAGATTCCCATCTGGTCCAAGCCCAAATTAGGGGCATGATTTGCAATGAGTGCTGCAACCAAACCAGCATTGCTTGCTATGCTTGGTTCTGTGAACCATGGCTTGTCCCTTTCATCAGAGAAACCATCGAAGTGATCTGGTCCAGCTACCATTGCTCCCCAAAGTATATTTGGATTTCGATCTTGAGAGTGTAGCCATCTATCACCTTCAGCACAAGAGTGAAATTGACCATCCCAAGGAATTGATGCACTCCTATGGTGAACTTTTGTTGGATAGTGGTCTCCAAAGCCAACCATGTAGCTCATCTTCCTGGGATTGTCTCCTAGAATGTAATTAACCTGCTATAAATGATGAAACAATCAGGATTGCTTTGTTGCATAATTAGGACCTGCATACTTGTTATAGACTGATATACACTTGCCTGAGAAATGGAGAAGCTCTGTAACATTTCCAAAGAAAAACCATCATACTTGGTGCAATTACCACCAGATCTGCCAAGAAGTGTGAGGTAATCTTTGTATAATTTACTCAAAAAAGATGCTGTTGCTGCAAACTGAAGTGGTTCACCATAATCAGGCCTTAGGAGGATCAATCCACCTACAATAAAGTCATGAGAGATTAGAAATGATAAAATGTCTCCAGAAGGATACATCCATTTGCGTAAAGCACATGAATAGATTCATCCTTTGAAAATATTTACCAGGTGTTCTATTGAAATTTTGCTCTGAAAGATAAGAACACATAAGCTGATCAGTCATTTCGGAGGATAATCCCAATGCTTTTTCATAGGGAAATCCAAGATCATGAAAGAACCGAAGTCTTGTTAGCAAAGCCTACAAAAAAATATACTTGGAAATGAATTTAAAATCCATGAATGCATAAAATATAGAAATTAAACCTTAATAAAAACCGCATAAAAGGTTTTTACTAAAATTACCGCAGTGGCAGTAAGCTTATTATTCCAATAGAAAATCCCTTTGTCAGCTATTGTTTCATTATTAGATGCTGCAGCAAAGTTTGTGGTGGCATAGTCAAGATACGTATAGTTCCCAGTGGCAAAGAACAACCAAGTTCCTCCCCAAACCAACTCATCTTTGTACCCAGATGAGTTATAAAACTTTCTTGCTTCTCCTCCACAAGCATCAATAGTGGTGTAAGTTACAGCTTTGTGGATCTTGTCTTTCTTTTCTGCAATCCCATATAACTTCTCCGCTGCTTTTGTTAATCTTTGTGAGTGTTCATTCTCTTCTTTGAATACTATTGAAGCTGCTGAAAGTGCTGCAACTATTTCCCCTGCCAAATCAGAAGCCGTCTCATCACAAACTGAAACAGGTCTATAATAGCTCATGTCTTCAGGCCTTTGCCAGCAATTTATGTCATTGGAGCCTGGATTTCGAGTGTCATTACCAGCACTTCCAACCTAAAGGCACATTCCAGAGAGCAATCTCAAATCTCACCAATCTACCACCATGATTAAGATTTAAGACACTAAGGTTTAAAGCACATAATTTATAAAAAGCTTGCCTGTGAATACAAAATGGTGGGTTCAGAAGTAGCATTTGGAGCAACAAAGACCTTGAGCAAGTAGTCACTGCCCCATCTGATAATGTCTTTTATATGCTCAAGCTCACCTATATCTGCATATTTTTGATGATATTCGATCACTGACCAACTCAACAGCGTGATGGTATAAGCTGTAGGGAAAGTAAACTTTATGTTGTTTCCAGAATCATAAAATCCACCCACAAGATCAGCACGCGTATTTCTTGTATTCCCATCACGCAATCCTGAACTTCCTCGGAACTTTATCGGACTTTTACTTGGATAATTCCCAGCTGCGGAAAACAAATTGTACTGAGTTGTATGGACATCAATTAAAACTAATCTACAAGGACAATGATCTTAACTTTAACATAATGCACATGAAAACAAATTCTTACACTTTTGTGCATCAAAGAATGTTATAGCTTGGTTAACTGCAAGAGAGAGATTCTTAGAAGATTCATGGTGATGATTTTTGCGAGGCAAAAAGTGCAGCACCAGGCCAAGTGCTAGGATAAGAAAAGCTACAGTCAACGAAATGTAAAGAAATCGCTTGTAGTGTGCTTTATCTGTGATAACAAGCTCATAATCATAGGATTTAGAGTACGCAGAGGGAAGGGAATCATAGCCAGTTGAGGACTGTGGTAGAACTTTGAAGTCAAGTTCTATAGAGTTCCATTTGCTTGCTGAAGGAAGAAGCCTGCCTGCTTCGGATATTGCATGAACATACGTTGCAGAGTACTTATCTGCATCAGATGCTGAAGTACTTGAGCCTGTCATGGTTGAAGAAGAAGAAGCTAGGTTCCAGGAAAGGTTTTACGGGGAGAAAAGAGAAAGAAAATTGTACCGCCTCATTTTTATTTGTCTTGGCTCATCTGCCTGCTTCTATGTACAGTTGTTCCTTTCCAACGTTGAATACAGACCCTTTTCAGAGAACAGCTTATTTCCGAAAATTGATTAATCTAGATCCCGAGCAGAAATAGAATTATAAGGCAGTTCACTGGCAAAAGCACACTATTTTCATGCTACCATGGTGTGCCACTCTTGCTATCGGACTTTTGGGATAACACTTACGATGATAGTCTTATTCCTATAAAACAGTCTTAAGGTAATACTTTACCCTTTAATCTTGATAAATTGAAATTATCAAAATTATCTTGATGAGACTTATCAAGTTATCTTTTTAAAAATGAAAATTTATAAATAAATTTAGATGCTTTACCACTACGAGTGTCTTAAACATACAACAACAAAAACCTCTCTCACTTATAGAAAAACCATTTGCCCTCTATCTCCATTGTTTAGCCAATTAGCCAGTGTGCTCAATTTTGCAGTAGTTCTCCAGATCAAGTTTTGAAAATCAAAAGGTATGTAAAGATGATGGAAATAAAATTATTTAACAATTTCTTTTAATCATTATGTTATCTTAAAAGTTCCCTAAAAATTATTAGTAATATATCTCCTTACTTTGTTTGAGCTTAATTTTAATTGCATGGAAAGCCCACTAACACATCAGTAATTATAGCACAAGTAGAAACAGAGTCACAAACAAACAAAGGATGAGAAATTTTGACGGTGTTTCCAATGATGCCATGGCATTTAGTTTTAACAGGCGAAGAGACAGAGATATGCCCTTCATCTGGTAAGCCTCTGCCGGCAACTTTGTACAACAGCTAGAGCTGCCATAGTGTAATAGTGCCAATAAACAGTCATTAAGATCAATGGCACCTTCTTGTGTTTGAGTCAATTACAAGCAAATTTCAATTCTTGCATTTGTTTTTTGTTTTAAAGATTGAATTTCACATTAGCCTCATAGTAATTGTTCCATAGTTAAAAAGGTTATTTCTTTCTCCTTGATATGTTCAGCAGGCTAGGCACGATCACAAATCCAAACATCAAACTTGGGCTAGTATTGTAACTATTTGTTAACTAAATGAACTTGAGGCCGGGCCACCTTGATAAGTAAACACAACCTTGGGCAAGGTTGGAGTTGTTTTCAGGCCTAAAAGCGGCAACCCAAAAACAGGTCCCTGCTGTTTGTCTTCCTCAACCATCCCTGTGAACAATTTCAACGTCCCAACTCCATAGACCAGATACATTTATTAGTCTCTCAAGTTCTGGATCTAAACTTTGTACCGTCCGTTTAACTCTCTCCCTGGAACAAATAATCAAGCAGTCTCATTAAAAAGTTAAAACAAAACCTTGCCACCAATTTGCGTCTTTGACAATCATCTGCCAGATTTTTGGTGAGTGTTCTCTTTCTACCTCTCCGTAGTTCAACTCTTAGAATTCAAAGAGAACCGAAACCCCATTTCATTTATCTCCCTGAAAATTCATTTCTACTTGCCTAAGCTGCAAAAAGGCTTCAGCTTTATTGATCAAGATCTTTCTTTATGTAGTTTATGCTTGACTTCGTGGAATTCAATCAAATAAGGTCACGATCTTTATTCATTAATCTGTCCGTTTACCTATCTGGTTATGCTTAATTCACATAAATTTCGAAGCTTTTCAGCTGGATTTGTATTATCATGAATAACTATCCATTCGGGTCAAATAGTCCTAAGTCCTTCAATGCATATCCAAGGGGTGATTTTGATCTAGAATCAGGAACTATCAAAAGGATCAGAAGGCCTAGAAATTCATCATTTTACCCTATTAGAATGATTAAGTCCTTCGCTAACCGGCTTCGTTACTATTACAAGCTACATCCACTTCTTGTTTTCTTCATTTCCTTGTCATTTGGGGTCACAATCCTCATAGTTTTATCTCTATATGAGCACCACTATAGGATGCTGAGTAATTATAGGAAGCTTGATGATGGGTTCAATATTAATTATCCCTTTGCCAAGCTTAAAAATCTTGTAATGGTTGCTGGACATTCGGTTTATACAAGTAGTAGTTGTGGGAAAGTTGATAAGGAGGATTCTTGGTTTTTGGAGTCTTATCAGAAGAATCCAGGTCAGGCTGCTACTTTTTTGGCTCACATAAAGGAAGGGATAGAAAGTACAGCAAGAGATGATGAGGCTTTGCTTTTGTTTAGTGGTGGAGAAACTCGAAAAGATGCTGGTCCTCGAAGTGAGGCGCAGAGTTATTGGACAGTTGCTGAATCCAAAGGATGGTTTGGTATGTTCACTTATTCACCCCTTTTAATTTCCTGATTGTACGCTGTTCTGCCATACCTCATTTCTAGTTCGTATGTTGCAATCATTTGAAGAATGAGATGTAAACTTGACAACTTCTAATGAGTTTGCTGATTGTTTTCCTGGTTATTCTCCCTATAAATTTGTTACTTTTTTATGCAATATCATGCTTACTGATTTCGTGAGCGTACCTAGATTTAGTTCAGTAACTTCATTATTCTTTAAATCCAAATTCACAAACTTTTCATAGCACCAGTGAGAGTTCAATTATCGTGATTTTCAAGGCGCCTTTTCAATCAGATATTAGTGATGAGAATAATTATGGGGCAGTTGTTTCTTTCAACAAAATGCTTGGCTTAGGTGAGTTAGTCAGAATACTCATTATACAAGAGCTTGCCTCAAATTCGGCCACGTATTTATTTTGAATATATTGATACTGGTAATGTTCTTAGAGTGGATTCCAGTTAATCCATGCCTTTCAAGTTTCAGCTAATAGGACATACTTATACAGGCTAGCCATTTCATGTTTCATGTCACTCCTATAGAAACTCCTAATGTATATACCTGGAACTGATGTATGTAATCAAATTCTCTCATGTGAGTGGTTAGCTTGTATTTTTTATACAATTTGGCACCTTTTGTTGGCTGTTCATGTTGTCTTGTAGAAGTCTTTACTTAGTAGGTTTGAGGTCTTATCTGGGAAACTCAAATTAATCTTCCTGTCTGATGTATTCACATTTCAGTGTGTATGCTTCATCATTACTAAGTGGATGAAAATTTGGTGGACAAGTAGTTCTAATTTTTCATTTCTGTTGTTGATTCTGGCTGTATCATCAGTTTTAGTGACTGTGGACTGAAAAGTTAAACCAACAGCATGTTTGAAGAAGAAAAATTAATGCCAGTTCATAATTAACCTCCAGGATGTTCTAAATTTGCAACAGAAATGCTGCAAGTGAGACATGTTTATGTTGATTTGGGCATCTTTTCCTTCTTTTTGAAGGGAAAAATGCAAGGGCAAAAGTCCAAGCAATAGTAGAAACAAGAAAGAAATTTTAATGCCTGGAATCTGTAATACTTTCCTGACTTGAGTTATCAGAAAAAGTGAGAAATGAAGCATGAAGTGTTTTCTTGCTCTTTGGTTATGCACTTGGTGCTTAAATCACTAGAGCTGTTTGTAGTACTCTCATTTTGCTTCCCAAGTGGAACAACTTCTCCCCTTTTATAGGTGTTTTAATAAGGGGTACCCGCTATATTGTATTATGAAGTAATTTCATGTTATCTTTGTGAAGTTGTTTTTGCCTTTTAGTTGCCATTCTATGTTTATAATTATGCCTTATGGCACTAAAGAACTCCCTTGATTTCTTGATCTATGAAAAATGAGTTTGTCACTGCTATTCCAGTTCCTAGTCAAGTTCTATGAGTTTGCTTCTGTCCTCTCTTTATTCCGTGAAATCGTTTCTGCAGCATGAAGGCTTAGAATCATCTGTCTCATTGTTATTATATTTGATTGTTTTTCAGGGAAGGAAGAAAGTGTGAAGTGGAGGTCACTAACAGAGGAGCATGCAAGAGATAGCTTTGAGAATCTTCTCTTTAGTGTTTGTCGGTTTCGAGAGCTTACTGGGACATACCCACACAACATAACTGTAAGCAAATCCTAATTCAACCTTTCTGCATTTTTGGTTATTTCTTTCTTTTACTTCTCCCTTCCCCCTCATCTTCCGGCCTATCAGCATGTTTAGATAGAGTGAAAGAATAAACTGGAAGGTCTTCAGTGAATAGTTTCTGTTTTCTTTTAAACTGATGCTCTTATTCTTGGTACAAAATAGCTATACATAAGACCAATTATGATTTCGGTTCCAATGATAAGGTCATTGACCACAACAAAAATCACCCAGATAAGTATAATTGCAGCCACTTACAGGGAATAATACATTTAAGTTCTCCAAACATGTCAATTTTCCTGCATACAAAGTCAAGTCAAGGGTATCCAATGTAGCGCTTGATGATCAAATCAGAAAGGTATTGGGTGGGTTCATAGAACATCTTGTTGTGACTTAGACCTTAATCCAAACCACTAAGTTGCAACGGAAGACAATCAAAGTCACCAACTTCTATGTTACATGGGCTTGGGTATGAATGTCGGATATCGTTATGTGTCTACATTTTCTGACCTGCCTTTTCTAAAAATCTCAGTCTCATGGATTCGGCTAAAAAGTGTCAAAAAATAGGATAGAGATACATGGACACTTCCTAAAATTATACTATTTGTATGGTGCCCTAAACTGCTGAGTCCATGTAACATAGACCAACTTAGAAATTAGATTGATCCACTTGAGGCAAAACCATTCAAAAAACTCAAAAAACAGTAAAGAGAGAACGCAAATAGTAAATGTGATTCAGAAACCTATTCCTTACATCCATGGGCACAGAAAGAAGAAATTTACATTAAAGAACAGAGATTGCAATTGTCAAGCTCTCTTGAAACCGCAATTACAATCTCTTGTCGGTCGCTTGGGATTTCTGCATGTTTGCCACTTCCTTGATGGTGGTTACACAACTTAACCCCAAAACTCAAGATAAAGACCTCTTAAAATTCAAAGCTCTCTAAACTTTCTACTTATCCTTTTTTCTCTGTCAAGAACCTTACCCCTAAATATTCCAAAATTGCCCTAGAGAGAAAGATCTCCTTTTTTCTTCTTCTCACTTTGCTCTTCATCAAATGCAGCTTGTTTGTGCACTATGCTAACAAACACCACATACCTTTATCACCAAGAGACAGAGAATGCAAAGCTCCCTAACTGTTACACACTGTCACAAACTTCACCTTCTTGCTAACTCCATGGCCTGACTGTGCAAACAACTCATTAGCTAACTCATTGGTCGTACATTCTCTCTTCATAATCCTTGGGATAAAGAAGGATCTTACACTGCAACCTTATCACATCCTTGAGAAATTTGTTGTTAAAGTGGCAGAAATTCCATCCCCTTGAAATCAAGATTCTCAGCCTCCACCATATTCACGTCTTCTTGACTTTTTCAATTGTTGTCCCTTTGTTGAGTTAAGGGTAATTGGGAAAGAGAGCAATCTGGGAATGAAAAGAAAATTGTGTGAAGGTAAAATGGAGATTACGGGGTGAGGTTCTGGGCTGAGAAAAAAAAAAGGTGAAAGTTAGAGAGTTTTGAGTTTTAAGAGTTCTTGCTCTTGAATTTTGGAGTTTGGTCGTGTAACCACCGTCAAGAAACTAAGAAACACATACAAATTCTAGGTGGGTGACAAGAGATTGCAAGTGAGGTTTTGGGAAGAGCTTGACCATGGTAATCTATATTCTATGATAGTGAACTTCTTCTTTGTTGTACTCGTAGACATAGGGAATAGATTCCTGAATCATGTATATTATTCGTGGTCTCTCTTTACTGCTTCTTCTTTCATTTTGAGTTCCTTTAATGGTTATTGACACAGGTTGGTCCATCTAAATTTTAAGTTGGTTTTTTTGATAGTCTTCCACTGCTTCTTAGTTGTTTGGATTATGGTCACAACATGTCTTCACATGTTTGGATTACGGTCACGATATGCGTCCTTAGACATCAGTTAGAAGTATATATATTACTCCAGATAAAAGCTTGTTACATGTTCTTCCCATTTGTCAAGTAGCTGATGATGGAGGTGTCGTATCAACTAATCCCAATGTGCCAAAGAATTACTTTGATGAATAAAGAAATCGTTGCTCTCTGGAAATAGTATACCTCTCAAACTTGACCTCAATATTCTGCTTACTGGTTATGCTAGTAGAGGCTCGCTCTGCATTTGTACACGTATGATGATGGTGATGGAACCCCATTGGTTTCCTCACATGTTACCCGGAAGTACTTAGCTATTTGTTTATTTTTTTAAATATGTACTGGCTAGTTCTTTATTTATAACAAGTGCTGTCTTGTCCTCCATTTTTGGAAAGAAAATTCATCCTAAACCTATTGCATTGGGACCAGGTTGTAAGTTATGATTTCAAGGAAGAGAGATTTGCACACTTGCATCGCTCTGCCATTGGCTTTCCAGAGTCACGGTTCTTGTACACAGGCACCCCAGCTTCAACAACTTCGAAAGAAGCAGCTTTGAAAGGGGAGGCATTGGTGAGGATCCAATTTCAACAGGATCCATATGGATGTATCGGCCCACTTAAGAGGAAAAAAGTAGGCCGAGATCCCTTCCATCGGTCAATCCCTTATCCCAATGGATGCCCTGAAATTGAAGGCCTGTTTAGGTATTGCGGGGCTGCTCCTTATCCAGGTTCTCTGCCATGGGCATAGTAAAATTATCTTATGCTATATTACATCTTTTCATAGCCTATACCACACCTAGACCTCCAAAACGAGATTATATAAATTTTCAATTACCGAATTAACAGAAAAAGAAAAGATGAATTTGAGATAAGATCGCAACCCTCATTCTCTCTAGTTTCATAGGATAATGGTTGATGGAGGAATATGTCCTTTTTCCCAGTAATCTACGGTACTACCTGACTGCATTTTTGTAGTCCACTTTGACATGGCAACCAACCCTTAATCCGAATTCGGTTTAACTCAGATCTAATTTAAAAAGGAGCCAATAATTTGAATTTATTTAAATCAAAATTCGGTTCAACTTGATTCAATTAATAACTTGAGTTGTTTAAATTCAAATTTGACTTTACCGGTGGAGTTGAAGATGGCATGTCCTGTTTTGTGGATTTTAGGGTGCATTTGTTTTAACATAAAATGGTTTTTGAGGTTGTTTGGATATTAAAAATGAGATTTAAATAAAAAAAAAACCCGTTGATTCTGTAAATTTTCTTACGCTCTTGAGGAACAATTTTGTTTTGTCATTTGTTTATCTTAACAATAAAAGATATTTACGGTTATCTAACGGACTTTTAAATTTATTTTTCAATCAAAGTTCAAAGGCAAAGGCAATAGGATTTTTGAAAACAAGTAAAATGCTTCACTCTTGTGCTATTAGTAAATATATTACAAGGTGCCTGAAACCTAGGTTGCAATTTTTTCCTTGTTAAAGAAACAGAAGCGAAAGCAAATAGCCGGCATGGGTCATTTCCCTTTTTCTCTGCAATCACACTCTTCCACAAACAATCCCTCATTTCCATACCTCCGGGTTCATGTATTCATCAACGCTCTATTCCTCAAACCCAGATCGATTAAACCTAACCCACATAAATCTTTTGGTTCACAAATCGTATCCCAGTTCAGCAAGTGTACCCTCCTCTTGTCCTCCTCCGTTCCCCTCCACAGAAAGACAATTAGAGCATGTTTGATCTAGCTTTTGTTTTTAAGAAATAGATAAATTGAAAAAAAGTCAGCTCAAACGAGCACTTAGACATGAGTCTATAAAGATGTTCACAATCTCATTCCAAGGAATCAGTATGGAAAATTCTTCCAATTAATATTAGGAAATCTGGAAAGACAACACAACAAAGCAAGTTGGAAAGAAGCCTTTCTTTCAACCACGCTGAAATGCCCCATTAAAGCATTTGCTTATTTTTTGTAGTAATACTATAGGAATTACATAAAAAGATGCAGTATCCAGCAGAGCTTGTTTTATTGTTTTTCTTTTTTCTTTTTTTCCTTTGATCCAATGGTTGAGTTTAATAATGGGAGTCAATGCAAGGGCGACCTCAAAGAGGGTTTTGTTTTCATTTTACATTGCAGAATTATGGGAGAACTTCTACCCCGTGTTCCTTAAGAAGGGACAGCTAGAAGCTGCCTCTAGAGCAGAACTATCCATGGTAGCACCCTTCAGCAGACCTCCCAGCAGTTCCCCACGATCGTAAAAGAATTCCACCCTCACAATTTTCATCTCTTCATCCACCTATTTTACATGTAATAGGTTTTGGTTCATACACAATTAGCAAGAAGGAAAGGACTAGAAATATACAAGGTACAGTAGATACCTCAAAGATAGCCATTCCGTAGAATTCTACCAATTCTCCAGTTGGGGCGTGTCCTTTGAAAGGACCTTCATTGTAACCCCAGTGCCTGAACTTGTAGACAATCTCCGGGGGCCCTGTATAAACCTTAAGAACCTCCAAGGCAAAACCTCTTGGAAACGTTGTTGTGAAAGCCCTGTGAGATGATTCTGACGTTTCCTTATCCGGATCATAACACCTGAACTCCTCCGGAAGGGAAGTTTGCAACTGCGGGTTATAGCCTCCGCCAAGCTTCTGTATCCCTTCCATGGTTAAAGCTTCCTTACCTGTACACAGATTCGAAAACAACATCCTAATGACAAGATGAATTACTATAACTCGTAAAATGAGCACCTTGATTGAGTTTCTGGTATTACCATTTAAGCTAAAAACATATTTCTTTGTATCAATTGTTTTGAAATCTTCAAGGCGTTCCTTGTGGAAAATTTCCATTTCCCATGTCTTTACAAGGTTCTGCACCTTTTCCTCTAGTGATCCGGAAGGCCATACCTTCCATTCACAGATTAAAGATTGGTAAGAATAGATAAATAGACAAGCAAACTAAGAGGGAGAAGGGATCAGAAAGGAGAGACCTTGGTCCTTTCTTCTTCAAAGAGCTTGTTCACAACATCGTAGCTTGGAGGATCTCCATACCTCCATTTGGTGTTCTTCTCTTCTTCACCATGTAGATAAGAACGATATTTCTCTCCCTCAACATTTGAAAGTTCCATTTTCTGAAGAGTTGAAACTAGGAAGATTATTTCTTGCTTATCTATGGTGAAGAAGGGACCTTATATATATATAGGCCCAGTGTTTACCTAACTTGATATTTGAATAATCTTCTGGTGATCAGACCGCTGCTTGTCATCATACGAACATGAATATCAATTCATTAAATTACATAGTACATTTTGTTTTAAGTATCCATTCAATGCATTGAAAGTTGTCAGAAGAACACTGCCAAAAATTGGTGAACATAAGATTCCGTGAATATTTTATTTATTTGAAGAAAAGGAAATTCGAAACTATCTTCAAGATATATACACATAACGTTCAATTGTAGTGGTATGGTAAAATATGAATTTTCAATTACAATAACAACAACTGATCAGAGTGCGACAATAACCACAACGTCTTGATATTATTTAATATTAATAATTACTAGGCTAAATATCAAACTACTACTTATCATAGAAAGAAAAAAACAAATACAATACATCACAACTTATAAAAAAGAAAGATTGAAGGAGATGATTAAATAGTTTTTGAAAAAAACTTTAATCTGCCAACTGTTGTTTTATAGTGAAGAAAAAAAAATGTTTCTACTGCTCCTCTGAAGTGGAAGGGGCAAGCAATTAGATCCGGTGAAAATAGGTTGGTGAAGGAACAAAGGTTTGAGTATTCCTATAATGCATTAGTTACTGTCATGTGGGATATATGTTTTTCTTGTTGCAAAGGAGAAGTCAATTCACTCACAATTTCAAATTTTGATTCCCAATGTGTGGAGAGAAATTCTGTTTGCCCTATTGCTAGGAAATTTCTTACCCTTCATTGACATCTATTATCCTCGATCACTTTCCCTTCCGTGCATTTGCAAGTTTAGGCCGGCTAAGACTTTTGACTTGGCACTCCAGGGTTATTGGTACTTCTCATAAAACTTGCTGACTACTCTGACTGCAATTTTTAAATTTCAGCCAGTAAATTATAGGGAGCAAGAGCTAAACACGACCTCCACCAGTTTCTCCCTTCGCCTGTCAGCACCTTTGGTTCCCAGTTATTATTTGCTTCCCTTATTTGGTTGGCAAAATTTGAATAGAAATAATACTTCTTAAGTTTTATCTATTCTTCAAATCAGTAGAAAGTTATTTTTAACAAAACCTAACCCCCACCTCCTTGATATTAACAATTTCATGTATGATGGAATAACTTTCAGAATCATTAAAACGAAATTATCTCCAATAAGTTTAGAAAATTACAACGTTGTTTATATAAAATCTTTTTTTTTTTCTCTTCTTCCTCTCCCTCCTCCTCTTCCAGTTGCATAGTTCTCTTCCACCATTTCCGGCTTTGCTAATCACCACCGCCTCTCTCTCATCCACCTTTCCATCTGTGTTGCTCTCATCCACCGTCTATTTTTCCAGCTCCGCCTTTGATCGTGTACTTGTTTGATGTCAAGAAAAATGAGTTGAACTAAATATGCTCAAGTATTTTTTTTTTTTGTTCGGTGTACAAGATTCTGGGTTTAATTTGCTGCTGCCTTATTTTTTGTTCTTTGTTTAATGTTTTGGGTTTGCAACTCTTTTCATTGAACTGATCAAAATTATTAAAAGGTGCGTAACATTATGCATAATGGGTAAAAACTTCTTTCTTGGTGAGTTTTCTTTTCATCAAATATTTTACATCAAAAATATTATTTGAAAAAAATATTACCCAGATAAGTTTCTAGCAACTTTAAAAAATTTTTCTTTTCTTTTTGTCTGTGTCAAGGTCAAATTTTGAATCAAAATAATATATATAATGTATTATTTCGATAAAAATAAATATTAATGTAATAAAGGGTATTTTTATTTTTCTATCACTTAATTTTTTTAATTCAAGGTTATTTTTACTAATAAAACACTACAATAAATCATAATAGTAATATTTACTTTTTTTTTATTGTGTCAAACTATATAATAGTTATTTTATTATTATTATTATTATTATTTATTTTTACAAAATAATTATTGTATTTTACTTTTGTATATTCTGCGAACCAAACATCTTGTATATGTAAGACGGTGGCTGTCTGCAAATGTCATTTTCTTGGAAAACAAGAGTATTAGTACATATTCAGGCAATTACCCAAATCCATATATTTGGATTTGAAAACGAGAATTTTAAGTATTTTTGCTTTAGCTTTTCCGCAACACTAAAAGAGAAGATAAAGTCAAAAACCAGATACCCCGAAGAAGGAGGCTCAAAAGTTGTGGATTCATTAACTTTGGCACGTTTTGCTTGACAATGATAATGACTCCTTTTCTAATGTTCAACCTAAAGTTTACAAGCATCACTTCATGGTTGATGAAGTCATACTTGAAAATTTAAAATTGTTCTTTTCTTTCTTGTAAGACCTCAATCTCACCTTAAATGACAATGTTTCAAGTTTATAGTTATGTGTTCACGCTTTGACCCAAGTGAGCCTAAACCCAATTTAGGGCATAGGTTGAAATCAGTTAATCATGCTCTCCAACCAATCATTGATGGGTGGAAAGGACTCACAACATTAAACCCTTACCTTTGGCAAGTGGATTTTTAGGATAAAATATCTCCATTTTTTAAATTTGAGTCAAAATTTCAAATGGATTTATTAGTTTTTCAAATAGACATTCTGTTACAAAAATACAAACACTATAAACACATATTTAAAAAAACACTAAAATGCCTTTTCTTTTGTTATTTTAAAAATTATTATTATATTTTTTTAAAAAATTAATAATGGTCCCCAGCTCTCCAAGAAAGGGGAGGGTTTTTTTTAATTAATAGAATTATATAATAGTAATTTTAAAAATTAATCAAGAATAAAACTGTTGTTTTACTTTTGCTGTGTCATCAAATTGATGAAAACACTAGCATTGACTAATGACAGGACCTAAGTGTATGCGAAAAATTTTTTTTTGGTAAAGTGTCTATTTTAAAAACTAATAAATCTCTATATAATTTTGATCAAAACTTAAAAATATAAAAGTATTTTATCTTTTTTTAAATATATGCGTAATGGCCATGGTAATTTTGTATATGACATAGCAATATGACATGAATTCTATTTAGAGTTAAGGTTTAAGGTAACAATGAATCGTGTTTTAATTGTATTGATAGAGTTAAAACACAAAATTTTGAGTTTTAAAAAAATTATCAATTTTGTTTAACTCCCTTAAGACCTATTTAATTAATCATGTTATAGTCATAGTTAATAATATCGTACGATTCATGATATATATGATACAATATGATACTAATAAAAAATGATACGTATCAATAGCTAAATTACATTTGATTAAGTAAAAAAAATGTATAATGTGTTACATGATACATATCTTACGATATGGAATACAATACAGTCGTTATACTTTTTATAAGTTTAATTCTAACTAATTATTAAAAAAATATTTTTTATTTATTTTTTGAATTGAAATATGAAAAATTATTTTTTATGAATTTCAATGATTTAGATTTTGAATGAAAAATTACTAAAACATCGCATTCCGCTTTTAGTTTCAACATGATGAGTGTTTTTTAATTTTTAATTGATAATTTAATATAAAAAATATCTATTTTATTTAAATATATATATATTATTAGGGACTATATTGAGAATTTCAATTAAAAAATAATCATCTTTTCAATTTATATTCTATAATCTTCAATTCCATTAAAAAAATATAACATTTTAAAAAAAAAAATTTTAGTTTACTCGTATAAATGTTATTTATAATTCATTTTAATTTTTTTTAACATATCTTGTACGATACGATACTCAATGTTAAAAGATACGATTTCGATACATGACACTTATCTCGATTTAACAACCATGATTATAGTATATCTATATAATTTGTAACTTATTTACTATTCATTTAATTAATCATGTAAACATGTCTATTTGTCACATTTATTCGTGTCAATACTCATATAAATACATTTTTTAGATATAATATCTAAAAAAGTTCTTAAACTATTTAGAAAAGTTCAAATAACCATTTGTTTATTTTTATTATGTTCAATCAAGTCCAAATACTTTAATTTTAAGTCATTTTTATTTTGAGATAAATAAACTCTTATGACTAATAGTTGATTTAATCAAAATATCACTAATCATTCTATACTACGTGGTATGTTGACATGTTATAATTGATAATGAAATAACATATTGATATGTCATAATTAATAATGACGTGATATACTAATTTATATAATAACATAATTATATGATATTTTTTATTTTTCACATCAACGTTATATGAGTGTAAAGTAAAAAGTAACATTTTAACTAATAATAATTAATCAATCATTATTCATAAGGACTTATTTGACTCAAAATAAAAATATATAGACTTGATTGAACGTAATAAAATAAATATTTATTTAATTTTTTTAAATAATTTAAAGGCTTTTTTGAGTATTATGTTTTTTTTAATTATAATAGTTGATGATGCTAGCAGTAGATTTTACTATAATTGATGGATATTATTATTTTATTATAATTGTTTTTATTATTATTAGTTATAAATTTAAGTAATGAAAGTAAATTTCATTTGTAATTGGATGCATCTTAATTTAATCGTGTTAATCATATTTATTGTGTTAATTGTGTTTAAAATTTTAATGATATTAATCATTTAACAGGGTTATAAATAGAGTCAATCATATAAAATTTAACATAATTTATTTAATAAACATATTAAGTGTGTCATATCATGTTATAAGCTTAATAAATAAATTTATTCATATATGTTCATTTTTAAGATCTTGATATATTTAATTACTTATATTATATTTATATTTATTTATATAATTTTTAATATTCTATCTTATATTTATAAAACAAAATTAAAATATGCAAACACGAATTATCAAATTTAATGCGAAATCGATTAGGTTGAACTGTGAAAGGGTCATCCGCAATGGATAAGCAACCTCCGTCATGACTTGTTTGTGATGAACAGCCTGCCAAAGTTGACAGCGGAAATTCTCGTCGCCGAAGGTTCCAAGGTCTATCTCACTGACCACGTAAAAGAGTTGCATATG